AACAATACAGAGCTTCACTAAACAAGATGGTAGGAATTCAACAATGGACATTATATTGCACATTACTGTCTTCAAATTACTTGTTCAGATTACCAGATATAAGCATGTACAATTGGTCAAAAAGAAAAAATAAAAAAATAAAAATAATATTTAAGCATTAACTGTTCCTTTCATTAAACCAACGGACATCAGCAGTGTAATTATCCCGGCTGTCCTTGTGTATACATACATCTATACGGGGCAGAGGCTCTGAGATTCACGTCACATCACCCTGGCTGCTGGAGACACCAGAAAGCACTATGGTGGTATCAGTCTGAGACTGCAGCTGCCATCTTGGCTCAATGAGTAAAGGTAGAACCAGAAAACTCTCCAAGGACTGGTTGTGAGAGAAAGGAGTCAGGGACGATGCCTGAGGCACAACTGGGTACTTGCCACAGAGGTGAGGTTGAGGGACAAATTATTTTGTGGGTGTTTTGAAGGTGTCAGGTGTCAGGACTGTCACAATGCTGCTGGTGACACGCAGGGTATAGTACACATCTGGGGGTTCCTGGAATGTAAAAACTATTCCAAGCAATAGGCAAGCACAGAAAACTCTAGGAGAGGGTCTGAGGGTGAAACAGTGAAGGCCAGAAGCAACACTTAGCAAGTTTCTAGCAGAGCAGTGGGGACAAAGTCTCGTTACAGAAGGTTCTGGAAAAAATGGAAACTGGGGAAGGAACAAGACAAAGATTAGATGCTATGATACATACAAGCACTCAGACAGTTTTGTATACAGTAGGAGCTCAATAAATGCTGGCTGTTACCCAGGCATGGTGACACACACCTGTCATCCCAGCACTCTAGTAGGAGGCTGAAGCAGAAAGATCCCAAGTTCAGTCCAGCCTGGGCGATTCAGTGACTTTATGAGACCTTGGCTCTACAAGGGACCAGGGCTACAGCTCACTGCAAAGGCCCTGGGTTTAACGCATAGTACCTCAAAATAAAGCAAAAAAAAGTGAAGCAAAATACTCAAATGTCACAAAATTCATTGCAAGGCCATGGAAAATATATACCAAGCTTAAAATGACTGAAGGCGGAGCTGGAGTCTATTACACTCTAGTCAGGGGTCTCCCATCCCAAGGTGCCGGTCTGTGGGCTGTTAGGAAACAAGTCACACCAGGAAGTGAGTGCTGGGCCACTGAGCAAGCAAAGCTTCATCTGCACTCACCACCATACCCTACTGCTCACATTCCCACCTGAGATCTGCCTCCTACCAGCTCAGCAGCAGCTTCTGATTCTTGTAAATGCATGAACCCTACTATGAACATGAAGCTCCTTATGAGAATCTCATGCCTGATGATTTGAGGTGGAGCTGAGGAGTGCTGCTAGCGCCGGGGTGTCTTTGCAAATACAGATGAATAGCAGCAGAGAGGCTGGACTGCACAGAGACCATTATAAATCAACCACTTACAGATTTGTATAAAAACCCCTTCAGTGCCACATGTAGTGGCACATGCCTGTAATCCTAGCACTTGGGAGGTTGAAGCAGGAGGACTGCCATGAGTTTGAGGCCAGCCTGGGCTACACAGGGAGTTCAAAGCCAGCCTAGACTACATAGCAAGACACTGTTTGAAAAAAAAAAA